TCCTGGACGAGGAGACCATAGCGTGAGTTTGTCCATGTCCTCTCGCTCTCGCACACAGCAGCTCTGCTCCCAGGCTCTTTGGCTTTTCTTGCCAGCCCTGGAGCTCTGCCTGCGCCTGGAAATGTGGGTGCTGTCTCCCGCGGGATCCGCATCTCTCCTGTTGGGGGCTGCACCCCTGCAGCCAGGACACCTTCCTCGCTGTCTGTGGTTGCTGTAACCCCTCAGGGACCTTGTCTGCGATGGGCTGAGCCCTGGCTCGGTGTCCTCCCTGCAGGTGGATGAAACGTCCCCGCTGTGGGGTCCCGGACCAGTTTGGGGCACGGACAAAGTCCAACATGCGGAGGAAGCGGTACGCGCTGACGGGGCGGCGCTGGAGCCAGAGCCACCTCACCTTCAGGTACCCAACCTTGCCAGGGCTTCCCACTCCCCAGCCCGTGGAGAGCCATGGACCCCCCTGGGGAGTGAGCGCTGCCCTGGGCCATCCCTAATGAGCTCTGTATCCCCAGCATCCAAAACTACACGGAGAAGCTGGGTCGATACAACTCGTACGAGGCTGTCCGACGGGCTTTCCGGGTGTGGGAGCAAGCCACGCCGCTGGTTTTCCGGGAGGTGGCCTACGAGGACATCCGGCAGAAGCGGAAGAAGGAGGCTGACATCATGGTGCTCTTTGCCTCTGGCTTCCATGGAGACAGCTCCCCCTTTGATGGCCTCGGGGGATTTTTGGCTCATGCCTATTTCCCCGGCCCTGGCATGGGGGGGGACACGCATTTCGACTTGGATGAGCCTTGGACGCTGGAGAATGCGGATGTGTCTGGTGAGTTGAGGGTCAAGGAGGTGGTGAGGGTGACCAGAGGAGACTGGTGGCCTCTTGGGCTTGAGGGAAGGGGGCTGCACTGGTGTGGGCAGGAGCGGCAGGGAGAGCGGCTCCACCATGGGTGATGTAGGCAGCTCCCTCCGGAGCACCCTTGTTGCAGGGTGCTGGGTCCAAGGACTCACCCCATGCATCACGTCCCATACTGCCTCCTGCTGATGGTGCCTCTCCATGCAGGGAACAACCTTTTCCTGGTGGCTGTGCATGAGCTGGGGCACTCGTTGGGTTTGGAGCACTCCAGCAACCCCAGTGCTATCATGGCCCCCTTCTACCAGTGGATGGACACAGAGAACTTCCAGCTGCCCGAGGATGACCTCAAGGGCATCCAGCAGCTCTACGGTGAGGAGATGGGTGGGGAATCAGCCCAGAGGTGGGATCCTGGGCATGTGTGTGGGGAAACTGAGGTAATGCTGATCTGCATCACCACATCCTTTCTCTTGCCTGCCTGATCCAGGTACCGCGGATGGGCACCCTCAGCCCACCAAGCCTTTGCCCACCGTGACACCCCGGAGACCTGGCAGGCCAGACCAGAGACCTCCTAAACCTCCCCCTCCTGGGAAACCAGAGCGACCCCCCAAACCTGGCAGCCCGGACCGACCTGACCAGTATGGCCCCGACATTTGCGACGGGGACTTCGACACGGTGGCGGTGCTACGTGGGGAGATGTTTGTGTTCAAGGTGCCTGCCAGGACCCCCTCCTGCCCTTGCCCTAGGGAACTGGTTGGTCTGAGGGTGGGAGGACCCCCCAGCACAGAGCCTGGCATTGGGACCATGTCTCTGTGTCCTCCCCATCCTCTGCCAACACCCTGTTTCTCACCAGGGCCGGTGGTTCTGGAGGGTCCGGCACAACCGGGTGCTGGACAACTACCCCATGCCCATCGGACACTTCTGGCGGGGCCTCCCTGGGGACATCGATGCTGCCTACGAGAGGCATGATGGGAAATTCGTCTTCTTTAAAGGTGAGCAGGGAAGCTGGGTGGGAGGGCTGAGGTGGAGGGGAGGCCCCAGCGCCCTCCTCCCTCAAAGCTACTGAGTGCAGATTGACTTCATCCCAATCCTGATCACCTCCCCAGCCAGAGCTACTGCCTGATCCCAAGGGTCCAGGGTGGCTGCAGGTGTTTACCCCTGTCCCTGTCCATGTGTGCACCTGCCACAGCTGCTGGGCAGTACTGTCTCATCCCACTTCTCCATCTCCTCCCCCTCCAGGTGACCGCTACTGGATCTTCCGAGAAGCCAACCTGGAGCCCGGGTACCCACAGCCCCTGGTCACCTATGGGCAGGGCATCCCCTACGACAGCATCGACACGGCCGTCTGGTGGGAACCCACAGGACACACCTTCTTCTTCCGTGGGGACAGGTGAGTGTGGATCCCTGCCCTGCTCCCACCTGGTCCCTGGCAGGGGAGGGAATGCTGGGCAGCAGGGACCCCCTTGCTCCTCACCTGCTCCCCTCCTCCCTCCCCCAGATACTGGCGCTTTAACGAGGACACGCGCTCGGTGGACCCCGGGTACCCGAAGCCAATCTCTGTCTGGGTGGGGATCCCTCCCTCGCCCAAGGGGGCTTTCCTCAGCCCAGATGCCTGTAAGTAGAGGATGAGAAGAGGGGTGACTGGGGTATGGGGTCACCCCTCTGATGGCCTGGCCATGTGGGATGGAGTTCGGGAGGGTGTCCGAGGGTCAGTGGTGAAGCCCTTTCTGAAGGGTTTCACCTGTCCCGGAGCAAACCCTGCTCTCTTGGGTATCTGCAGGGGTGCCCTGTGCCTGCCCACTTACCCCTTGACTTTTTCTCTCCCCCAGCCTCCACCTACTTCTACAGAGGCACAAAGTACTGGAAATTCGACAATGAGCGGCTCAAGACAGAGCCAGGTTATCCCAAATCCATCCTACGGGACTTCATGGGCTGTCACACGGAGCTGGTCCCAGATCCCAATCCCCGCTGGCCCGATGTGGACCGACCCCCCTTCAACCCCGATGGGGACGGGCGGACTGAAGGTGAGGAGGAGGAGGACGAGGAGGAGGAAGATGAGGATTACGAGGAGGAAGATGGCCAGCCAGGCAGGGATGTGGACGTGGTGGTGCAGATCGACGAGTACACGCGCACCATGAGCGTGGTCATGGTGCTGGTGCTGCTGGTGCTGCTGCTCTGCATCCTCGGCCTCATCTACGTCATCGTGCAGATGCAGAGGAAGGGCGCGCCCCGAATGCTCTTGTACTGCAAGCGATCCTTGCAGGAGTGGGTCTGACCCTGGCTCCCTCCCCAAACCGCCCCTGCCACCATGGTGCTAAGATGGACCTGACACCCCCCTCCCCTTGTCCCCCACCACGGCCTCAGCTCCTCTACCCCATTGTTGCTTGATGGCTCCAGCCTCAGAAAAGGGGGGATGCCCAACCCCCCCCAGCCCCTCCAGGGCAGCCGGGCTGGGACCGGGGATAGTCATGGGGGGGCTGGAGGGCATCCAGGTCCTGCCTGCTCCCCAGTGCCTGCACCTCCCCCCAGCCGTGACCCTCAGGCTGCCACCCATCACGTGCCTGCCTCTGCCTCGGGGTCCCTGCAGGGTCCCTTCCTTCCATGTGAGCCCGCTGGGGCTGGGGTGGTGAGCGGGCTGGGGCTGCTCACAAGTGCTGCGAGCTGGCAGGTCTCAGCCGCTGGCACCTGCAGTGGTGGGGAAGGGGGGGGGCTGAGCTCATGGCTGTGTTTCCTGTTGAACTGCGGGGATACAGGGATGTGGTGCCTAAAGACAGTGTGAGCTGGGATACACTACCTTTGCAACCCCTCTGGGGCTCAGCTTAGCCCGGGCCCTGCTGCTGCCATGGGGCAAAGCCCTGGGGCAAAGGGCAGTGGGCACGGCCGCCTTGTATGTCTATTAAACAGGTCGGGTGTGTGGAGAGCCGTGGTGCCGTCCTTCCTGCCGTGGGGGGCGTCGGGGGGGCATCCTGTGCAAGATTTGGCAGATTTTGTGGTAACAGGGGAGGCTTCTCTGGGAGCCACCCTGCCTGGCACCCCCAGGGAACTGAGTGCTGGGCCAGGGGATGTGAGGAAGGGGCCAGCATGGCCAGTGATGTCCCTGCAGCAGCCCCTGCCCTGGGGCTGCCATTCTGGGGGGGTCAGCTAAAGCAGCCCCCCACCCCCACCAGTGGACAGAGCGGCCTTTCAGCAGCTCCCACCACAGTGACAACGGCCTTGCTGGGAACACAGGGCGCCTTGTTCTCCCCCAGCCAGCACCGTGCTTCGGCCCCGGGCGGCCGCCTCCTTCCCCGGGCAGGGCCGGCAGCAGCTGGGGGACCCTCCTGGAGCCACTTTAGAGGGTCCTTCAACTCCCTGTCCCCACGTGTCCCCAGCAAGTTTCCTGGGGGGAAGGGGTGGCCATATCCTGTCTCACTGCTGCTGTTGCGGCAGAGGAAAGCAGGAGGAGTCAGGACTGCTGCAGAGATCGGGGAAATAATCATGGGAGTGGGAAAGATTAGACCTGAGGGGTAGGAAACTGGCTTTATCTGGGGAAAAATATTGCTCAGCCTTTGATGGGAAGAAAAGCCAAACTGCAAAAGCCAGGATGGAGATAGTGGTGTCCCTGCCTCTGCTGGTGAGGTGATGCTCCCTGGGGTGGGAGCTGGAGCTGGGTTTGCTCTGGAGCTGCAGGTGCAGCCTTTGGGTGGGCAGCAGAGGCCTGGTGCAGTTGCTACACTGGGGGGGAGGCAGCTGTGCCACACTGGGCAAGGGGCTGGTGTGAATCTGACCCATCCCTGTGAGGATAACCCTACAGAGTTGGGGGGACTGTCAATGTGGGACTTGACTGCATCCAGCATCCTTGCTTCCTCCAGCCTCCCCTGCAGCAGGACAGGGCCAGCAATGTGCCAGCACCTGTGCCCTGGATCTTTCCTCAGAGGCTGGCACCTCTGTCTTGGTGCAGAGAGCAATAACCCACCCCTGACCTGCTCCCCTGGCCCTGGTGCTTCAGCTGCTCCTCTGCCCCCATCCCCATCCTGCCAGCCCCCACTTCATGGAGGGTGATGGAGCCTTTGTGCTCCCCTCATGCTTCCCCAGGGCCCAGAGCTGCTGGCTCAGTGCCCAAGACTGCTACAGCCACTTCCCGGCACTGAATTACCCTGATCCACCCGGCCACTCTAATTACTGTAAAAGGGAAGGACTGATACTGGCTCTCGCCCTGCTTTCCTGGTGCTGGTGGGGGAACCCTGTGGTCTGGGTCACTCATCCCCTGCCCTGGCCTCCTGGGCAGTGATTCCCAGCCATTAGCCGATTCCCTGGAAAACACGCTTGGCTCAGGCTCAGCGCATCGCTGCAGCCAAGCGAGAAGTCAAAATCAGGGACAGAAAAACCCTGAGGAATCAGGGGGTGGGTGGAAAAAGGTCTCCAAGTGGCTCTGGGCTGTTGTATTCCATCAGCCAGGCCGTGCTGGGTCACATTCCTTGGCTTTTAACTTCTTTCAGTTCGGTTTTGACCGTTTTGCCCAGATCTGTGCTTGTGTGGGTCTTCCCCAGAGCTGAGGGAGGACCCACAGCTCTGCTGGGCCGGAAGCCATGGGGCAGCCATGGGGCAGCCCAACACTCCAGCCTGCCCTGAACCAGGGCCAGACTGGTACCAGGAGCTGCCAAAAGCCGTGAACCTGGCCAAAAGGCGAGGCAGGAGGGATTTGCGGCTCCCCACCCCCGCAAACACTGCTCCAGAGGCAGCGGGGATGCATTTCCCACGGCAGCTGCATTTCCCACACTGGATGCACTTCCTATGGCAGATGCATTTCCAATAACAGATGTATTTCCCACGGCAGCTGTGTTTCCCCTCTCTCCTGGGGGTGCTGAGGGCTCGGCGGGGTGCAGGGCTGGGGACCCCAAAGCCTGGCACCTGGAAAGATGCCTGGCTCACAGGGAAAGCCAGAGCCAGCCAAGGATGCCCAGGGCCAGATGCTCAAGGCATACCTTCCCTGCCATGGCAGGGGAGGGGGCTCCTTACTGATTTGGGGTGGGACAGGAGCTGGGAACAATTCCCCAGTGGGAATTAGGGATGCTGGGAGCAGAGAGGCCCAGGCTGCCACGGTTGGTGAGCTGGGACATCACTTCCCACCCCCCTCCTGCTTTTCCCCGGATGCTGCAGCGGAGCTGGTGCCAGGAGCCCAGGGCCATCTGGAAACACTCATGGACAGCAGTAAGGGATCCCGCTGGAGACAAAGCCCAGCATTTCAGCAGCGCCCAGGCTCTCTGCTGGACGCTCCCACACTGCCCTGCACACCCACAGCAGGGTCAGCTCGCCTCTGGCTGCCCATGGAGACCCCAGGGAGGGCAGGATGGCACCTGCTCTAAGAGACAGGGCTTTTGGTAGCAGGGGGGACTGCGAGTCTGGCTGAGCTTGGCCTTGGCAGGCACTGGACAGCCCTGCCAGGATCCACTCCCACCAGGCAGCTCCCAGCTTCCTGGAAATTGGTTGGAGAAGCCTGACCTGGAAACCACCCTGGGAGCTCAGTGTCCTCCAGGCCCTGCCATGCCGGGGTGGCTGGTGGGGTGTGGGTGAGGGGGTGACCAGGGTAGCAGGGGCTCTCTCTGCCTGACTGGCACCATCTCAGGAGAATCCTCCTCTTCCTCTGCAAGCCAGGGCAGGATCCCCTGTGCGCTGCTGAGGAGAGGACCCGGAAAGCAGAGAGGAAACCGGGCTCAGTGCAGAGGAAGAACTGGGGCTGGGATACGGTGAGGAGTGACCGGCTGGCTCAAGGTCAGAGGAAACAATGCTTGGGATGGAGGGAAGAGCCTCGGGGCCCTGGGAGGGGCTGAACCTGCTGTCTGTGCACACTCCAGGCAGCACTGAGGCTGCTGGTGCTGTACGGGGAGGCACAGCCCCGCTCCGGGTGGAATGTGCCCACCAGCCCCACTAAGCTCGGCACATATGCACTGCTTGTGTCCATCACCTCCCCTCACACCCACTGGGCAGCCCCCAGCCCGCTCCCCGGGGTGCTGGACCCTTCATCTCAAAGAAAGGCATTTCTGGTGCTGCAGGGGCAACACATCAGGTGTGAAGCAGGCTGCAGGTCTGCGTCAGCACAACTTGGTGTCCATCATCTTCTCACCTCCAGTGGCTCTGAGACTTTCCCCACTGCATCCCAGAGTATTCACTGGGGCGCACAACCGCTCCCTCATACAAACAAAATCTTGCTTGGGTGGTCCCATTTTGCAGTTTGCCAGGGGAAGCTCTTACCCCTCTCTCACAGGTGCCAGCAGGGCAGGATGATCAGCTTGCCCTGCATGCAGAAGTGGCCAAAGTCCCCAGCCCCGTCACTCAGTTTTCCTGGGTGGTGGCCAGTGGTAAAACTCAAAATAAATATTTCCCTTGCCTCCAGCAGTGCCCATCCCATGCTAGACAGCAGCTGCAGAGGATTAATGTTGCCCTGGAGGTGTAATCCCTCTATAAAGATGACAACATTTGGCCCAAGATATCCAGGGAGTTGCAGAATGGACAAGGAGTGCAGTTTGACTCAAATAATTTTTTGATTCCTGCATATCACCTCCCTGAGTACAGCTCAGTGCTTGTGTCAGGACCCACTTGGTGGGAAGGAGACAAAGCATTAGGGGACAAGCAGAGGCAGGGACAGAAGCCTGTACCAGTGTCCTGCCACTCTGCTGGGCCAGACTCACCCAGGATGCTTCTGCCCCAGCAGCTGAGCAAACAGACAGAAAGCTTTCCAGGAAAACCCCTTTGCCTGCTTCCCCTGCCAGTGGCTGCCACCTGCCCAGGCAGAGCCACTGGAGCTGTGGGATGTCCTGGCCTTGGCTCACACCACAGTGATTGCCAGCTGCTCCAGCTCACTCTGAGCCTGCTGCTGCCTGGCCCAACCCAGGGAGGGTCACTGTCCCGCCCCTTGCTCTGAGGTGCTGCAGCTCCTGCACTCCCATATTTCAGCACCCAAGCTTTCAAAGGGAAGCTTTGCCTTTGATGTAGAAAGCAGCTCCCAGCACTGAGGTCCTGATCAAAGTGCCCTAGTGCAGGACCTCGCCCCAGCCAATGGAAGAGCAAGGTGAAAAGCTGGTGCAGACAAGGAAAAACTCATCTTTGGGTGGCCCCTGATCTGCCCCAGGTTGAAACCAGGGCTCTCTGGAAAGAAAGATTCCTTTCTCTCCCACTAGACATGACCTGCAGCAAGGACTTAAGCAGAAAGGACCAGGCCACCCACAGAAAGGTGAACGAGGAGCTATTTAAGATCTTTTCTCTGCAGGCTGCCTGCACTGAAGCAGGACTCCCCTCTGCTCGCCCCTTGCACCCAGCTGGGGCTGCCCTGGGTGTATGCAGGCAGTAGCAATCCATGAGGCACACTCTGCACCCACATCCTTCATTCCTCCACTCTTTCCATGTAGGAGGATGTTGTGTCCCAGCCAGGTCAAGAGCCATAACCAAAACAGTAAGAAGCTGGGTGCTCCACCACAGGAGTGTTACTTGTGCACATTTACTGTAGGAAATGGCTGCTGATGGGATGCCTCTGACATTGACCCATTTGCCAGCAGCATCCTCTTCTCCTGCAGGGAGACCATCTGACTTCACCCACCTTCAGCAAGATAGTTAAAGTCTTGATGGGAGAGGGGGATCAGAAGAGGAAGATTGTTGAAGAATATTGTGTAAGTCAACCAAGCATCTGGCCCTAAAGGAAAGAGCCAGTATCTGATGATGCTCCACTTTGTGCAGCAAGTAAACAGGAAGATTGAGTATTTTGTTTTGTATTAAAAAATACACAGAGGGTCCCTATGGATGTAAGGGTTTGCGGCTGGGAGTTTATTCCAGCAAATCCGCTGGCACAGCTCCTAGAGTTTGGGCAGCAGGGCCCATCTAATCTCTGCAGAGGCAGCCAGCTCTGGGCTCAGGGGAACCCAGCCCCTCTTAACACATTAAGGTTGG